GAACTTTGAAAACCGATTGTGTAGTTAATTTTGAGATAGTGTGGATTCTCCTCGAGGGTGAGGAGCGGAGACATAGGTCGAGGATGACCGAACTCTGTGATCATTTGCCTTGTGTTTGCGATTGTCATTTGCTCACTATCTCTCTTATATCTTGTATTCATGTTTATATAGCCCATTAGTTAATTTTATATACTTGCATATCTCATTGTATATCACTTCGTTAGGATATTTTTGTTAATTAGTTTTAATTTGGCATCGATATCGGATTAGATTAGCAATTACCCTATTCACCCCCTCTCTAGGGTACTTTCAAATGGCCCCCTCCCCCCAAACCCTAAACTTCTCTAAAACTTCCAATTAACACCCCCTCCCCCCTCAGACTTGTCAATTGGGCAAATACGTCCATAGAGGCTCGAGTGAATATCTCGTATCCCGAAACTAGCAGTTCGCCCCGTCAATCCTCCAGGGCCGAAATAACTCAATTCTCGCCCACGAACTATTTGTGTCGATGGATTAGTTCAATCTAAAACTTGAGTCAACTTGCCTGCCGAGGTGGGAGATCCATCATATCAAATGAACAAAGCAGCACGGCTAGCAGTGGTTGATGACATATTTCTCTCTCTTTTTCATCGGTTTTCTAGATCGATATGCTGATCTGACCGGTGGGCAAGAACTACTAGAGATGAGCAACGGAATTCTGCTTCTCAACCCCTTAAGAACACCGAGTCATTTAGCCGGGCCGAGTTTCATAATTCATTCCCCGGGCAAGTTCGGAATTCAATTCATGCAAGGGGCTTCCTCTCTTCACGCACCTACTTTACTCTCTTATTTCATTCTTTATTAACTCTTATGAACTCATTAATTACTCCGCAACGCCATTAATGCATAGGCTTTGATTGCTCAAATTTGGTAGAGATTCATCACTTTTTTGGTGTTTCAAGGTATAATTTTTGTCCGTTATTCAACTTCTAAACTTGTAGCATTAATTTCTAATTTTCCTCATCAAAAGTATTTCACGTTATTGATCATGAATCATCATGGTTGTTTATTATAATTACTACAAAAAAATAAAAAAAAAGGTAAACTATTAATTTTACTTTTAAAATTAGATTTAATTTCAGAATTACGATTTTAATTTCATAATTTTAATTTTAACTCATTGTGAGACCAAATTTCGCAGTTAGTTAAATTTGATTTAAGTTGACTATCTTTGATAAAATTTGCAGATTTTATTTATTTTTTGTGACAAATAGAAATGAATAAAAATTTGTACTATACTTTCCTTAAAACACGCTATACTTCCACCAAAGCTGGGCCCCACAGCTGGGGCCCACTGCCCCTGTACCCCCCTCTGCGAGTTGGGTGACTCGCGGTTCACCCGCGAGCCAAAAAGCAGGATTCTCCACCAAAACCACACTCCACTTCACCTTTCCTTCTCGTGCCTCCTACCAGACAAAGCATAATAAAAGAATGAGGGGGACGAGAGGGCACTAACTTATGTATTGTATTTAAGAATTTGAACTTAAAGATAAATATATAAAGATAATTCAGATCACAGATGCAAAATAAAATAATTGAGCTTGAGGATAAAACATTGGGCCTTTAAGGCAAAACCTCCAAAAAGAAAATGGGTTTGGCAAAATCTTTTTTGACTTTTTGATCGATAATGAGAGCCAGACGCAGACCAAGTTGTTACGTAAACCACTGACAGAACAAGTAGGAGTCATTGGTGGTATGGGATGCTTCAAAGACACATAACATGCTGCTCCACTCTCGCAAAGAGAAAATCATATAGGCCACGCATAGGCCATTGGAAACTTGTGCTAATTAAATATAAAATATGTAACGAAAGACTATATGTATAATAATACTAAGCATGTAGAGAACATGAAATACAAGCTAGGACCATCCTAATTAAATCTAACATGATCCATATAATAAAGAGAGCAACAAAGAGCTTTGAAGGCTTACTTTCGTAGCGTGATTCGATTGTAGATCGAACAACCCCTAGCTCGTTCTTCTTGTTGTTGTAAACCTCCTTGTAGCGGATCTCTAAGTCTTCAAGTGAGCTTGATAAAATCGGAGTCTTCTTAAGACACAAAGCAAGATATCCACCCCAGGTAATTTAAAATCCTACTATTTCCTCTTACTCAAAGATTGCTAGAGTTTAGTAAGAGGTAAAGCTCTCTTTTATACTCTTATGGAAAAAAACCACTTAGCCAATTTTTTATTAACCTCTCCATAAAGAGAGAGAGCTCATATATATAGAGTGAGATATGTCATGACTCATCTCATGAGTCATGCCATGAGTCATAGAGTGAGATATGTCATGACTCATCTCATGAGTCATGCCATGAGTCATCTAAATGTAATGATTCCTTTCATGAGTCATGACTCATCTCATGAGTCATGCCATGAGTCATCTAAATGTAATGATTCCTTTCATGAGTCATGCAGTGACTCATCTCATGAGTCATGCAAAGAGTCATGAAGAATCAAAATTATGTGCTAAAACCATGTTCCCAAACCATACCACATTAATGACTCATCTCATGACTTATTAATCAAGGTATAATGAAGTGTGTATTTCATAAATAAAAACACCACATCAATACGGTGTTTCATAAATACGATATTGCGTAATTTTTCAATCATTAACTAATAACTCATCATATGACCAAAAAAATCAATGAGTTGACCAAAAGTCAATTGTTGACCAAAAAGCCAATCAGTTTACTAAAAGTTAACTTTATGGGAAAAAAATAGTGAAATTCATTTCTTAAGCACATAACATTCTGATTTTATCGATACATAGGTGAAAATCATATATGCATATCAATCGTACACATTTAACTCTACAAATTGTATTTCGTATGATTCAAGTACTCGCTTTGTGTAACTCTAGGGCCCAACTTAAGACTTGGCAGTGGATCATATCCACAAGTACAACAGAGGTGCTAGCTACACATAAAGACTATACTAGTATAAATTATGATAAATGTTTGTAAGATGCTTACACAATTTTATCAAGACCACTCGGTGATAACATTGTACAGTCCGGTCTCTTCGTAAAACAATGTCAAACTATCGAGCCTAGGGTATGGTAAACTATCAAACTCTAATAGCTTGATTAGTGTTTATTGATATTAAACTCATAACCTTTAAGATCAGACTGGCACTGAGTTTATCTTATTTACCTTGGCCAATGATTTTCAAGCTATAGTTATATCAAATAATCTTATGACATCAACCCCTTATACCGGGAGAGACGAATCTCATATTGACATCTCAATATCTACTTATGTCTCGGGATGCACCAAACAAGAACCGTTATGCACAACTCAATGAGAACTATGGTTAGGTAAAAAAGTCTAAGTACATCTATACTGACATGTAAGATATTGCACTCATGCCTCAGGTCAAAAGATTACTTTGTACTATATCACTTGAGAACTTCTATTTGACAGTTAAGTATAATTACCAACTAGACATTCTCGGATCACTTGAGAACTTCTATTTGACAGTTAAGTATAATTACCAACTAGACATTCTCGGTGAGTCGTTCAGTCAACTCATTCAATTACCAACTAGACATTCTCGGTGAGTCGTTCAGTCAACTCATTCACTAATGAGTCACCTGTATACTACATCTTGATATCTCACATCAATGATCCAAGAGATGGATCATCATGCTACCAAAGGAGAAATAGAGTACACACTAGTCTTCCCAAAGTGATGATGTCTCATTTCTACACTTCATCGACTAGGAACATCTTAGAATATACGTTAGTCTTCCCAAATCAGATCTCTTCATTACGATCATATCCGAAATGTCTGATAGTCTAGTATCATTCTAAGGACTTTATCTGTATTAAAATACCAGATAAATCTGATTAAAATAGCATACTATCATTTTGAACAAGGATGTTATATTCATAAGATCATGTTACAATATACAATTATTGCCTACAGGGCACCTATATCTAACATAGGCCACCCCTCCCCCTCTAAAGTGGAACGTGAGTTCAAGTACCCCGTGAGCATCCGATGCTAAGTCATCTACCAAGTGTAAAGGATAACAAGAAATTTGAAAAGTAAAAAAAGAGACCAAGTGTAAAGAGACCATTATACTTCTTAAAGTAATCAAGAACATCAACCTCCCGGTATCCACAGAGAGTAGTAGAGCGCTTACACGAACGTCTGGCCCATTAACCATTCCACGTATAAAGCACAAAAGAAGTAGCGCAGCTGAATAATTCACGCGTGCACCAAACTCTACCGAAAATCCCAAACCTTTCAGCAGCGCGTTTTCTCAAACGATATGAAATCCCTTCCAGAAAAGGATACTGTACGATGAATGAAAGCAAACGGTCGGCTCCTTTCTTCGCCGTGATTTTAAGTATACTCGGTCTCCTACAATCGCAGCTGCGCGAAGATCATCAAACGGTCATTGTTACGCAAAATTAACACGATGACACCAACGGAACAGGCTCCCCAAAGTCATCAGCCCGCACACAAGGCTGCGGAAATATCCGCCGCTTCCCAGTCTCACCTGAAGGACCCTAATGCTTTGCTGGTCATTTGATAGGCTTGATGTCTAGAGTCAGCTTCCCAATCTCACCTGAAGGACCTAATGCTTTGCTGGTCATTTGATAGGCTTGATGTCTAGAGTCAGCACGGCAACCACCTCGGAACTCCATCCTCGCCAAATTTTGAGATAAACTGGTTCATCTTCCTTCCCAAAAGGGGACCAGGCTCAATCCCGATCCAATTTCCAATTTTGGAAAGTCTCCTAACATAGCCTCTGAAGACGAGTTCTCAGATGCCACTACCACAGACTCAACTCTCGTTCAGTATCTCTGTATGGAGGTATGGGGATTTTTATTCATTTTTTTTTCTTTATTTACTTTTTTTTTTTTTGCATCATCAACCGAAAAAAAAAATGTACTCTCTTTTTAAAAAAAAAACCTAATATAGAGGCTTTATTTTCAAATGTGGAAAAAATACATAAGAGAAATGCATTGAATTGCGTGCACTTGTATAACGTTTGATATATTAATAAGGTTAAAACAACATGATAATCTGTTCTAATTGATTCCGATAAGGAGCTTTCCCCCTTTTTAAAGCTTCACCGTGACCAATTCCATGCCTAACTAAACGCCATGAGCAATATCTCAGCGGCATGGAAGACCTCAACTGGGATATGCATCTAAAACTTTTAAGAGGGCGATAGAGAAGGTACCAAAACAAAAAAAGTCAAGCTATAAAGCGATCCAAGCCACATCAGATCCTATCATGGAGGGTCACCACTAGATCATGAGCATCATCTAGAAGCTTCCAGACATCCAGACGCCCTGCCATATTATTGCACTCCCTGATAATCTCATCCATGCTACTATAACTCTCGATAATCAACTTCCTCCTCTGAAGAACACAAGCAGCAATAGCATACAACAGCAAATCGTCAGTGGGTGGGGCCCGCGACCTTATCCTCCCCCACGCTGACTTCCCAATCCCCGCCCTGATTGCTGCCTGGTCCGCCCACATCACCTCCCATAAACACAAAGTCTGGTCAAAGTCGAGCTCACGTCGAAACAAAACTACCACCATTCTATAAACAAAGAAACAATCCTCGGCTTGGAGTTTCTCCAAATGCCTGTATAGATGCGAGTCTTTAGACTTTATGATCTTTGACACAATGTTTAGTTGCCTGCGTATGCCAACTTCATCAAGCCTGAAATTATGCCGAGCTTTTCGCATAAAACCCACAAAACACCAGAATGCCTCATCGTCCTCTTCCATCACGGCGAGTATTGGGGATAGGAGATCGCTCATTCCTTGGCAATAACCGATTTCTTGGTCATAGAGAGCATAGGCCTCAAGGATTGCGACGAGGCGAGCAGCGTGGTATATTCTGCAAGGCTCCAAATGGTCAAAGTCTTTTAGTCCAACAGAAGTAGCACATTCTAGTGCCTTCTCTTCGGAGACTTCAGCTTGAGTTGGAGAGTAGAGCACCCACTCTCCATTAGCTCGAATGGCATCTAAACGGATTATACGCTGCCATGTGGTGAAGTCCTCTGTCGTTTTTCTGGATTTGGGATCAGTATCAGCGTTCTCTTCATCCACAGTTGATGTCAACATGCTTTCTGTCTCTTCTTCAGATGATGATTCAGCTGCAGAAGATTCCGATCCTGCCATAGATGCCTCAACATTAGTTATCCCACTTTCTTCCTCTTCAGCAGATGCATCAGCATCAACAGTTTCACTTCTATCTCCCTCTTTTTCTTCCAGGTTATCTGATTTGGAAGCAGATGCATCAGGAGCTTTATTTTCTTCAGTTGAGACAGAGGGCCCAGCACTGGACACGTCTTCAGAATCAGGAGATTCAGAGCCTTCATTGAAACAAGGGCTTTCAGAGTTGCTAACTTCATCTATTCCCTTCGTTTCCTCGTCTCCTTCATCCGCTTGTTTCAAAAGTCGTCGGCATTTTCTCCTTAGTTTCTCATATTCTTTCCTGCATGAAGAAGTTACAGAAGTTAGTCTGATAGACTTCTCCAAAATTGGAAGAATATAAAGCTGCTCTACAAACACGATGCAGGTCACAGTAATTTATTTTCATCATAGCAGCCATGCAATACAACACATATAGAGGGAAAATATGAAAGAGAAAAATTACCAGCAAGACCCACATACCTTCTCTCTTTTCTAATACTTATTCTTTCAGCCTCTGTACTCGTCAGGTCATATCTGCAGGATACAAATAACTTGGTCAATACATATGAGAGAGTTTGCAAGAACCAACAATAAGTGAATCCTTCTACTGTGAAGAGAACATACAGCAACAAACGGAGGGATTAAATCATACTTCTCTGTTAAAAATCCCCACATAAAGCTAGGGGAGATTCCAAATGCATTCATGTACAAAATTGGATCCCCTTTCAGAATATAGCATACATGAATAAGCATCAAGAAGTGAACAGCAAGATTAAATGCACAGGATATGTAGGAAGGCAGATGTAAATGTTGCGTACATGCACATTGGTATAATTAATATGAAATTTGCACAAATGAGATTGCAAAGTGAATGATTAAATTATGATTCTTAAAGGAGAACAACAAAGAACCCGTATCTCAAATTTATGGAATTTGCAACACATTATTACACAGATCAGCAACAAAGAACCTGCATCTCAAAAAAGGGATCAGACACTATGTTTTGAACTCGAATAATAATATTTTACTGATCTGCAGCAGTTATCTCTGATTCACGGCACAATGATGTGAATGCAACAGCAATCCATATTCTGAGGAATGATCTCTTTCCTTTTTAAATCCAAATCTGCAACAAGGTACCTGGGAACTGCAATGTCAAGAAACATGTAAAACACATGCAGTTCAATTTTTTGTTTTCCCAGTATCCCACCTACTTACCGAGTTTTTTATATTCACTATTAAGGATTGTTTTATCTGCTATATGTGTTTGCAATGCAAATGTCCTTTGTCGCAATTGCTATCACATGCAGTTGTCGCCGCAATTACTTAGTTCAATTTCAAAAGTTTACAATTTGCAAGTGCATTATAGTTGTAGGTGTTTGTTTAGGGATATTAAATTTTTTGGACTTTAGATTTGGAGTGTGTTGCAACTGGAACTGCAGTTTAAACCGCCTATTGCTGCTCAAATGGTTGCAACTGTGACTCACACCCAAATTTGTGCAAGTCCTGATTGAAGGTTTTTTTTAACAACTGCAGTTACAACGATATTTACACAAACAGTTGCAACTGGCCCAAATGTCTGAGTTGTATACAAACTCAGCTGCAATCACTGCAGCTGCATCAAACCAAGTACTCCTTAAGTAGGTCATTTAAGCTCCCCAGTGCTTTATAAATCCTATTTCAGGGTCTCCTCCAGACATAGAAAGTATGAATACAAACCCTTGAAACAGATAATATGTGAAAAATAGAGGACAATATTGAAATGGAAGAAGATCACTAGAACCAACAGGTAGCGAATTATAATCTCCTCACGCCAATTATCAAGAAGGTAAAGCATGAATCTGAAAAGGATGCATAAATATACGAACATCGTTAAAGAATAAACTGTTCTAGTCTTATTAGACATAGTATTTTACAGATCGTAAATAAGGGATAAGGACTTTTATTGGGTTACATTACTGTTAACATCTATTATGACATCTATTTGTAGGCTGTCAATCGTCTAAGTGTCTAACCCTTTTCATCGTTTTCCCAACATAATGAAGTGACTTGTAGAGTATTCTAAATTGAGATTTGTGAAGGCTCCATACAAAGAGCGACTGAGTTCCACATCCAGCTTCAACTTGACTTCAATATTTTACTCCGGACCGAAATCTCATCACAAAAGAAATTATAAGCAAGCAAAGAATTTGACACATCCTAAGAAGGCCACTTGTTAGCAGTGATGTAAATGTTGGTATCAAGGTCATGCCAGGTGGGAAAAATACATATTGGATGGCAGTCTTGGCAGATACCCGGGACATGTCAAGGAAATTTAGTAAATAGTGGAGTGGAGTATCATTTTGGATAGTGTATATAAATGTCATAAATGTCATCAATGAAATCAAAATATATAAAAATGCCAAATCATGTAAATCAGATGTGCTTAAGAGACAGAGACTAGAGAGGCTGAGGAAGATACAACTAAGAGGAGTCAAGAAAGGGGGCAAGAGAGATAAAGGAGATCGAGAAAAGGGGTCCAACCGTCCAAACATACACCCTTTCCAGAATGAACTCCTCCCATTCTGTTGCCTCTCTATATACAAATTTTTGACAGTGATAGGCATCAGAAAAAGTTAGGTGTGAACTACACTAGCTGCCATGATTATCATGACCACCCACCAAAAAATTAAAATAAAATAAATTAAAAAAAAACTCACTCATGCCCCCTCCCTCTACGTTGCATGGAAACGGATACGCGTACCAGTGCAGGTACAGGACATAGGAAATTTGTGAAATGTAGGGTATGGAGACATGACTACATATAAATATCGGAATTAATAATTTACATGACATCATTATTATTTCAAATTCATGTGCTATTTGAATTAAACTCCTATAATATCTTTGAGTTTCTTTTATTATATTGATTATTATAAATTGGAATTGCTCTTTTTTAACTAGACACTCAAATCTCCCTTTTAAATCATAGTTTTTTTAAAGTTGGATATAGGTTGAAACAATCGGGCCCATGTCTAACAAGTTTCAAGAAATGAACATGAGGTGTAGGATATACGTCCAAGAAGTATATTCGTATATGACAAGTATTTTAGAGAATAACACATCGTACATGTTTGGGTAAATGTATGCATATATCCAAAGGGTGTCCATGAAGTTTGGGTATGGGTGAGTGTCGTGTATGGGTATGGCTTCATAATAGAAGTACCCGGGTAACATAGCTTCTAAATGAGGGGAAAGAACAATTGCACTTGCACACAAACGGAAAAAATGCATAAACATAGCCTGTAATGAGATAAAAAAAATATGTAACATAATTGTAACAACTTCAGTAAACAAAAGGAAAGAAGCAAAGACAAGTAATAAAACGTTTCAAATAGCTTCTATTATCACATATAAGGTTATAGCACGTCTTTCAACCATTTCTTAAGTATCATCATCTTTAGAGACGACTTGCAAACTGAAAGTTTAGAGCTTGCAAACATCACATCGAAACAATTCAGAAACTGCCAGGCTAGAGATCTTACACTCCAAGAAGGAATGGCCAAACTTCAGCCCTGATGCTTGGATCAATACCCTACAAAATGTTAAAATCAACAACATTGCAGACATTGTTGAAATAATGAAGTGAAAAAGAAGCTCAAAAACTCGAGAAAGCATAGCCACTGCTTACTCCACTTCTAACTTTCTTTAAAAACTTCACGCCACCATCTCGCAGCTTTCCTTCTGGTGTGAAAAAGCTTTTCCACAGCTGCTTATTAAGGGCTCTTTTTCTTTTTCTTCGAGACCATGGTGACTTGAGGCTACCTCTGAAAAGCACATACAAATGCTATAAGTTAGTGTCAAAGAACTAGAAAATATCAACGCACGCAAAAGCAAAAAAAAAGTAAAAATTTTGGTGAAAGAAAAACCCAAAAACTAAACTGTATGTCCATACGGGCTAGTGGAAAGAAAGAAAGAACATAATTAGAAAGGCCAAAATCACAGAAAACTATAGGAAGGGGTATTGCCAGATTACCCAAAATACTATTTTTGAGCAATGGGATTCTGAGTATATCAAAATAACTCCTTCCCTTTATGCGACTAAAACATATCCTAATTGAACAGTTCCAAGGGAATTTATTTTTAAGGGCATCTTCACGAATTTAAGATAGCTAAGAAAACTCTGTTCATGCAGACCCATTAACTCACACATTGCAGTAGCAACCCCAGAAAGAAAACAACTTTTATCCAATTCCTAAATACTAATTAACTCTGATTGAGCTCAAACACTAGTGAACTGTTAGAAAACAAAATTACAACTCTCAACGCTCATCGCAACATCCAATTTCAAATTTTTAGCGCAGCGGGAAGGACTTTAGAAACATCCAACAACTTAATCTCGGAGTTCATCGCCCAAAAAGGACAAGACGGTTTCTTTATTTCAGAACCAAGTGGATTTGATAAAATAAACCATCAAACGTTGGATCTACAGAATACTAGATTTTTAAGGTGGGGGTGAAGCGAACCAAAAGAGAATCCAATGACGGGGGGAAACAAAGAGAGGAGGAAAGGGAACTCACCGATCAGGAGCAGGTGAGGAGGCAACAACAACGATAAGCGATCGCAAATGGATCCACGACGACGACGACGACGACGAAGTAGGAGACGAGGGGGACGCGGTAGCGCTACTACTACTAGTTTGAGATCGACGAAGAGCCTTCATCTAGGGTTAACTTAGGGTTAGGGTTAGGGTTTAGTACCTACGAGAGGAGATTGACGATGGCGGCGGCCAAGGCGAGGCCGGCCATGGCCGTCACACCCAGCCGCCACTCCGACATGCCACCGATCGCCGCCGCCGACAACCCCGCCGCCCAGGTCGAGATCGATCGCGGCAACCAGTTCAACAAACAACATCGATCGGCGTCCAACTTCAACACCAACCGGTGATCTCGATTTCTAGGGTTCCCCCACCCCCTCTCTCTCTCTTCTCTCTCTCTCTAGAGTTTTCTCCTCTAAAATTCCCTTTTTCTCTCTCTAGGGATTGAGAGTTGGGGGGAGTAAGGGAGAGAGTCTCTCTCACGCCGACGACTTTTTAATGAGGAGAATGAAGGGGGGGGCGGGGGGGGGGGGGGGAGTTGAATGATTTGTTTTCAGTTTTCGTTAATTAATGTAGTGTAATTCTAGATATTTGTTCCGCTGAAACTTATATATTTTTTAAATCGGTTTTTCTGTAGAGTGCTCATGGATACTCTATGAGGGAGGAGAGAGATAGAGAGAAATGAATTATGCACAGAAATTAATGCAAATCAGAGGGGCTTATGGGCTATTCATTTCTCTCTATCTCTCTCCTCCTTTATAGAGTGCCCATGTGCACTCTATAAAAAAACCGTTTTTAAATTAATCTTATTTACATTAGATCGCAAAAATTGCTATTTAGATACATCGTTTTTTTTATAGAATATCTGAAATTAATCTACTGGGTATTGATATTAATAATAAGGCTTTTCGGAAAATTTTAAATTAATCTATGGGTAGTGATAATCAATCGGTAGCGAATTATATAATAGAAATGTGTAAGAATCAATATCGGAAAACCCCTTAAACAAGAAATGTCACTAAAATAGTGTAAATTGTACTTAAATACCATCCTAGTTTCCTATTTGTTGCACTTAAATACTATAAGTTATTTTTTGGTGCAAAAAATATCGTAAGGTTTCTAAAATTTTCGCGTTACTATCATCGATCATGTAATCGTGGAAATTTTCACTCAAGTGTTTCTCCATGATACTTACATACCAATTTTAGAGCTTTTTAACTAATAATATTTGTTGACTTTGCTATTAAATCAACCAAATTTCTTCTTTAAATTTATGTTAATTCAACTTAAAAATAGAGTTGGGATATTTCTAATAAAAAATTTAACAAAAACTTAATGGTTAGAATGCTCTAAATTAGTGTACAAGTATCACAGAAAAAAATTTCGGTGAAAATTTCCATGTTTGCACGATCAATAGTAGTAACGTGTAAATTTTGAAAACTTTATGGTGTTTTTTTTTACCAAAATACATCTTGTGATATTTAAGTGCAACTTGGGAAACTACATGGTTTTCAAGTGTAATTTATCCAAAAAAAAGTTAGTACTAAGCTAAAAATTAAAGTAAAGAGAGCGACAAGGGCAAAACAGGGAATTTTGTGAGCCATGTGGAGTGCGGGAGACGGGGAAATGGCAAAAAAATGGAATAGCTTTGTTTACTTTTATTTATTTACTTACGAGTAAATATGTCAGTGCATTGTATGGTATTGAACATGAATTTCATTTTAAAATATAATATTATTGTTTTAAAAAAAAACAATTCTTACATGAGGTAAAGTGTTATTATATATTACAAGCTTCGTGTTCAAATACAAATAGAGGCTAACATATATCTTAAATTGTAGAATATTTTATAAAAACTGAAGACTTAATATTAATCTGAGTGTTCTTCAATTCTAACACTCACACAATTAAAACGGAACATGCATCAAAAGGAAGTTTACCTTATCACTCATTAGATAAAAAAACTTTGGGATAAAGTATTGATTACATATTGCAATTATGGTCATAATATTTATATATTTATTTTTGGATGGGATGCAATAACTTCGAGTATGAAAATATCTAAGTGTATTAAAATTTTTGTTAGGAACTGATAATGTATAAGCCAATTATTTTACAATAGAAATTAGGTATGCATGTGTAAGGACATGTGAAAGGGATAACACCTTTAAAAAAAGCGATAAAGAGATTAATTGAGTCACACTTTTCATTTGATTCCTGCCTTCTTTGCTCTGTTCTCACTTTTCGAATGGAGTGAAGCCCAGGAGAGCTATGGCCTCCCTGGTCTTATCATCTCACTGTAGTCCCATGACCTCAGTACATAAAGACTGTAGGGCTTAATACTAATCTTCTTCCACTGAGTTGGTGTTTGGTTCAAATATCAAAATTTTAGGATTTGTAATCTCACGAAGAAATTTAAATCCGTAAGGTTTTATACATGCTTTGAGATTTTCAATATTTTGTATGGTTCAACATTGATATAGGAAGACAAATCATACAATTTGTGATATCTTATTTGATTTAAACATGTTGATGTACTAGTGATCACACAGTTAAAGTGTCTCTGCTTTGAGGCGAAGCAGAGGAGATTGATGAGGGGGCCGCCTTCTTCACCGACTTTATGTCTAGTTCTTGAATGAGATAGTAGAGGAGTCTGCACAAGTAGAAACTCGTGAGAGGACAAGGACTAGTTCCCCCGTTGTATCTCCGACGATCCAGATAGATGGTAAACTTGGCGTTGGGTAAAAGAAGAGTCCCAACTGTAAAACCCCGAAAAATTGAAAGAAATATTGTTATATGATAATAAACGAATTGTTTTACGATTGTGTGTGTGTGTGTACGGAGAGAGAGAAATGAGTATGCTTGGAACCAAGCACAAGTTTTTGTGCCTGGTAATGAGGTGATATATTCTCCTCCACTCATTAAAATCGGGGCCCACATTCACATGGGTTGGGGAATGATTGAGAATTGAAATGAGTGGATGAAAATATGACATCTCACTACCAAACATAAAATTTATGCTTGGTACCAAGCATACCCATTTTTCACACACACACACATATCTCTGTGTGTGTGTCATGTAAAAAGTTCTATTCATTCGAAACCGTTAAAATTGATACGAGTGGATGAAGGGTCAAACCACAACAAGTTCACCCCAAATTTGATGTGTTGGGGTTTTAGAATATGTAGATCAAGTTTAACGGAGCGGATCATCTATAATGTAGCTCAATCAAGTAATCATCAATGGATAAGAAACTTAGTGGACGTCCACTTAAGTTGATAGGAGTTTTACTCTATATATATATATATATATATATATATATATAATAGAGAGAGAGAGAGAGAGAGAGAGAGA